TGGGTTCGAATCCCACTCAGGGCACGGATGTCTAGTTTGTGTGTGCGCGTTTTCTGTGTTTGTGTACAGGTAGAGGCCTTGCGACGAGCTGATCACACGCCCAAGGAGTCCTACCGAATGCGTAAGATCTAGAAAAAACCGAAGTAGAGGTAGGCCTAGGCCCACTGGGGCTGTAGTGCCAAGGGGGGGAAGTGGCGCTGAGGCAGGTTTTCTCAGAGTACTTCAGTTTCCCCTGCCAATCTTCATTCCACCAACTGCTCCACAATCACCCTCACCTATCATCTGGGGCTGGTACAATAGGCCAGAAGTGGACGCAGTACAAGGGACCACTAGAATTAAAAAAAAAAAAACCTCTGTGATATAAAAGCCGGCGTACAGCAGCACCGCCTACGGAAAATAACTGTCAAAATGTGATTTTTTCTGTTTACATTTAAAGGGGATATGAAAGCCCAACTGACTTCCGTGTCTACTACAGCCCTAAGGTCATAAAGCGGAAACGGCTCTGACATTAATCCTCATCCTACTACATTTCTATCAACACCTGCTAAAATTGCCTATAGCAAGAATATGATGGGTTGTCAGTAACATGCCTGACAACAGAATGTACGGTTTGTTCAATAACATGGCTGTTACTTCTGGGCTGGCAAACATGTCCTGTGACACATGGCGGGTTGACATACTGGCAGAACAGTGTGGTAGCGTAGTTAGTTGAGGGGCTATTCTACAAGCCGGAAGGTCGCGGGTTCAAGTCCGATGAGGTCATTGGATATTTTTTCAATTGACCTAATCCTTCCAGCCGCACTATGACGCTGAGGTTGACTCAGCCTCTAACAGAAATGAGTACCAGGAATTAATTAAATAATTTTCCTGGGGAGTAAAGCGCGGCCGGCGCGTAAGGCTGACAATCTCACTGCCATCTTTGAGCCGATTGTCTAGATAATGTGGAAGCCTCAACGTCTCACAACCCTATGGACCTTCACGGACTGTTACAGGGATAGCTCTACTTTTTTACTTTACTTTTACAGTCTTCCAGATCTGTAGAAAAAGAACTAAAAATCGAAACCAAAGGCCCAATTGTGTTCAGAGTAAAACACGTTTACACGAGAAGATAGTAAAAGCAAAAGGTAATACTGTCTCTGCGCTTAACTAAGCCCTGCAGAATGAAAATGAACGGGGGAGTGAAGGTAAGGCTCAGTGTATTCTTAACCTCGAAAACAGACAGATGTCAGCTTCAAAGCCTCTTTCGCCACAAAATATGAGCAGGAAGAAAAACACAGCCTTAACAACAACTAGCATGTTTCTACGGTATACACTACTTAAAATTGTCTATCTGTTCTTCAGTGATATGTATGAAATGGAATACGGGTATTAACAGAAGGCGGTTTCTGACCACTGAACATTCGGGTTATGGGATCGAATCACATTTGGGAAATGGACGTATATCAGTGTATTTTGTGTGTTTATGTTGTGCTGTGTAGATACAGGCCTTGCGATAGACTGATCTCCCATCCAAGGAATCCGACAAAATGTTTAAAATATATTAATTCGAGAAGTTAATTCTGAACTTGAACAGGCCAGAGCTGTATAGAGCTATAAAAGCTCATGACAAAATATATCACCAGACTGAATAACTCTTAAATTTCTGTATTACCTATCTTCAAACAAATTATGAACTAAAAATTAATAGGTTTTTAATGTGAATAATTTCTAAATCTGTCGATGAAGAACTAAGTGTTCGTTTATAACGCTGCATAACGTAACGTGTGTAAGGTAATGTTATTTTTTATATTCTACAAAACCTATTAGGTTGGACGACCGAGGGGTCGAAGGTCCAGTCCCGGTAGGGTCAAGAATTTTCACTTTTCCAACGTCCAGACCGGCTCTGAGGCCCACCCAGCCTCATATCCAGTGAGTACCGGGGGCTCCTTCTGGGGGGTAAAGCGGCAGGGGCGTGAAGCTGACCACTCACCTCCAACTAGTACCGAGGTCAAGAAAATGTGGATCTATACATCCACTCCACCATATGTCTTCATGGTGTATGCTTAATTAGTTAACCACAGGGACAACTTTACCTTTTCCAAACATTAAATACAGAACTGTGAAGTAATTTCTTTATCGATTGTACAGTATTTACCCTTGACGAGCTTTACTCCGGTTAGAGCCGGCATAGATACACAGAACAGCACAGAGAAGACATTTAGTAAACAAAAAGCATTCGGAGTAACCTTCAAAACCAAAGGTCATTCGGTTGCTAATGATGATGATGATAGTTTTCGAAACATATTTTCAGTGTGATCATGCCAACTGCTAAAATATTCAATCCCCGCACAACCCTCCCCTCAATGAATTATGCCTTCAGACACGGAACCAGTAAAAGTGGCTCCTCATTTGAATATCAAAAGCTCCATTTTCTCTGGAGTGGAATACTTGATTGGCGAAGATGCGGCAACTTACCATATGCACGCAGAAAAAGAGAGCGACCACTGGAGGGAAAGAATTTTCCCTTGCAGTTAATTATCTTAGCAGGATTCTGATTGAAGAAATAATTATTTTATTCTCTTGAGAGTCTTCAGTTCTGAATACGATCAATCGTAGTTCTAGATACTAAATAGTTCTCACATTTTAAATTGCACCAAGTTCACTGTGTCTCTATCACACACACTTTTTTTTTAAATTGACATTCAAAAGCTTGCATTCAGGATCATATAACCAAGTTTTTCTACATAAAGTAACTATTTAAGGTAATGTAACAAACGTTTAGTTTCAAAATTACTCGATATGTGGCACTGCCCTTAACAGATCGATGTCGCTGTTTTCAACTGTGTCCAGTAGAGCGTGTACTTGAACGAAACATGTCAAAGAGTTGACAACTTCACGCCTTTGCTTTCTTCTATCGCTTCTGAGTTGCCACATAAATCCAATACAGCGTACCATTCAAATTTGAATTAATCTTAGTTTGCGAAACATTCATTTATGAAATATTTAGTACTGTAAATGTACACTTAATTCATGTCAAGAGATTCATTTTTAATGCAGTTTCAACAGAATTAAAAAAGATGACACAGAAGTTATTTAACAAGAGCAGTTACTTTTTGAACGTCCTGTACCCCACTGGCACGTTTAATCAACCACTCCTCCGCCACTAACACTGACAGTTGATCTGAAAATAACTACCCACACCTTTCGTTGTGGCTTAACTAACTGTCGTTTCGTCAAATCCGCATTATCGTACGGTGCAGAGGTTTTGTGTGAAACTTCACGTAAGGCAGCGGTTGTGTAGTAACTACGCTAAAAAGAGAGCACGGAACAGACAGTAAAATGAACATCAGTACCAACTCTAGAGCAAAAAAATACACCATTATTTACAGAGTATAACAGTATAGTTTTCGGAAGGATTCGATACTTGTAAGTTTGGTGTTCTTGTTCAAATACATCTCAACGCATCAGTAACACAGAACGGGTTGGTACATCGGTGATGTTTTAGATCATGATTCGGGAGTTGCTCGGTTCGAACCTCGGCCGAGACAAGTTATCCTGGTTTTTTTGTCGCTTCGCGCTAATTTCGGGATAATACCCCGATCAGGCCAAATCCTTTCCAATTCATGATTAATCCAGAATTCGACGATATATAGTCCACCTATTGACAGCGTCTTAAAATAACCCCTCCCCCAAAAAAAAACAACAAAACTACTGAATATGATTAATCACAAAACTCTGAAAAGACACAGCTACTGTTATGTAACCTAGTGTGAAATATTAAAATCATATCACATTAAGAGGGTTTACATTATTTTTCCAAACACCACGATTTAAAAACACTTTCAAACCCGTTATTTTATCGGGACTTAAAACAAATATACGGTCTACTCCTTTCAAAATTTTAACGAACAAAATTCAGATCCAAATCCATTTATCATAATTTATATCGGCATCGCATTAAATTAAGTCTATTTAAGATGAATTTTGTGTTTTTTTTTCTAATTCTAGGTATCGCAAAAAAAAAATATTGCAGCGCTGAGTACGTTGCTATGCAAAGATAGCGAGAAGGAACATGCGTTGCTTAGTAACGACTCGGTAAACGGGCTCCCACCGCGGCGAACGCGCACGCAACAGCGAAAAGACTGTGCTTTCTACGCGGTTCGTACCGAGAGGGTATACAAAATGTTACATAAGGGCTATTACAGCAAGAGTTCAGTTAAAAAATATCTGGTTGAGAGTCTCAAGGGGCTTAACACCAAGACGAACTGACTGGCGGTACCCCGCCAGTCGTAAAGTAGCCGTGACTTCGACTTTAACAGTTCAATTGCGGGGCATTCACCGGACGGTAATAACGAGAGCACAGAAGTGGAAGAATCGCCATTGTTAAGATCAGTTACTAGGAAACGACTAGTGAAAGCAAACCGAGAAGACTTCGTATTTGCTGCAGTGATTTGTAAAGTGTAGGGAATGGCTATAGAGTTATAGAGATAGTGGTCAATAAATCCAATTATCCAAAATCCCGTCTATAGTTACACACATATGTGACAATATTATACAACGTGTATAATATTCCGGAATACAGTCTTCTCTAGTTATTTTTATATAATATTTAAAACTAATTTTAAACTAAGGGCGACACCGAGAATAATGCAATAACATTCGAAGTTACATATAACTAGGTAACGAACTCCATGAAACAGAGCATTTCTTGAATGACTACATGTCAGGCAGCTACTCCGGAAGTTCTCAGTCTTTTACAGAAACCGAAGGTTTATTACTGTGTTCACAAGAAACCGCAACTGAAACATATCCTCAGACTCAGTCCAAATCCACATTCCTATACAAAATCTTAATATTATCCTCATATCTACGTATACCTTCCTAATTTGTCTCCTCTCTTAAGATTTTCTGAAAGAAATCTTGCAAGATGCCTCAACTCTTCCCAAGTGCTACATGTCCCACCAATCTCACAACTGCAAATAACATGTACTAGAAAACGAAATTCCTGCAGAAAATAACCTCACGTTCGCTCAAAAGCCAGCTTTTTTTATTGCTAGTGGGGTGGGACTAAGTCCCTTGTACTGCGGCCACTTCTGGCCTATTGTACCAGCCCCAGATGATAGGTGAGGGTGATTGTGGAGCAATTGGTGGAATGAAGATTGGCAAGGGAAACCGAAGTACTGGGAGAATACCTGCCCTAGCGCCACTTTCTCCACCACAAATCCCACTTGACCAGACCCGGGATCGAACCCGGGCCGCGGCGGTGGGAAGCCAGCGACTAGCCGCTTGAACTATGGCGTGGCCTCCATTTTTGGTCTAACTATAACAGAAAATCATAGCATGAGAAACAGTACAGCTTTCGTGCAATACAGACCTCACTATTACTCAGCAGTCTTAAATCTCATATTTCCATCTTCTATTTACCACTTATTTATTTATTATGAGTTATTTTATTTTAACTGCTGGTCACAGTGGCCGTGCTGTCTAAGATATGAATCTTCTTAGGTAGGCAGCACACCGGCATGCGTCAACACATGATGTCTGCGACATGACGCAAAGAAATGAACACAGTTGAAATGAATGAGATTACGAAAACCGCCGCATACCTGTCTGAGTCATGATGCTGATGTCATGACTCAGACCTGTGTGCGGCGGTTTTCATAATCTCATTCGTTTCAACTGTGTTCCTTTCTTTGCGTCATGTCGCAGACATCGTGTCTTGACTGTTACATGTCTTGACGCATGCCGGTGTACGGCCTACATTAGCCCGCTCGAACACTTGGATCATGGGTTCGAATCCCACATGAAGTACAGATGTCTGTGTGCATTTATTCTGTTTGTGTAGTTCTGTATGTAGCGGCCTTGCGACGAGCTGATCCCCCGTCCAAGAAGTCCTACCGACTAAGCACATTTTTAAGAAACTAAAAAAGCGGCGAGGTCCACAGGGGCTATACAGCCGTAGACAGACTTTATTTTAATTTATGAATTATGGTTTATTTTACGACGTTGTTAGTAACTGAGAGTGTACACCCTCGAATGTCGCGGTGAATGCTGAATAATGAATTAGAAAGGATGTCGAAGGTGGATGGGGTGGCCTAATTTGAGGCAGTACTTCGGCATCTGCCTCGGGGGACTAACGAACACGACGGAAACTTAGGTCAGTATAACTACCCTCTGGACTGGGATTTGAAGGCAGGGCTTCCCGAATACGAAGCAGCAGTGCAACACACTTGACCACGACGTTCGATTATATTTCGATAAGAAATGAGCAGGCTTCATGACGATAGCAGCATTACTGGCAGTTATAAAAAAATCGGCAGGTTGGCAGTACTGGAAACGGACGTCAAGCGTCTCTGACACGATTCTAAAACCTGGTAGAAACACACACACATAAGCAAGGGAAGCGGCGCTAGTTGGCGTAGGGCGTCTGTATTGATTTTTCGATTCGCGCCAACCAACAGACGAAGCCAGGACAAGTAAGGCCAGTATAGGAAACTAAATTACTCTCTCTGTCACACCGACTCTGCAATGTTCAAAAAGTTATCACAGGTCGCACGGTTCAGCGACTGTACACAATGAGGACAATACAGCTGTACCGGAATGACATGTTAAACTGCCAATCCCCTAGGACTTTGAGTTCAAAAGACATATGATGCGCGATTTCCTTTAAATGCCTAATATAATGAAAGACAAATTCACAACCAACAAAGTGTCATTTTATAATTTATTCTACCTACCTACGGTATCTACCTATCTATGGCTATACAGTTCTTTGTTAAACCTTGGCCGATTTTTCAGTTTCTTAATCCTACATACGGTCAGTATTACTCTTTGGACGGGGGATCAGTCCGTAGCAAAGCCGCTACCTACACATGAAAACACAAACACAGAATAAACGCTAACAGACAACCATTCCTTGAGTGGGATTCGATCCCACGATCCCAGCGTTCGAGCGAGGAAAGACAGTTCATGCCTCAGACTTCGTGGCCACTATGATCGGCGTATAATTTATTACAGTATATTAATATCTATATATTCACTACATTTTTATTTGTATCATTCTGGTCCGTCACACTAACAATATTATAAAAAGATAAAACAGTTTCGTCCAGTTTGACTGATGAAGATTTTTCTTACTTCAATTCTTAATGCCCTTACATATTGGTCTCTTAAGGACCAAAATATGCAAGGGCATGAAGAACTGAAATAAGAAAAATCTTCACCAGTCACACTGGACGGAACTGTTTTATCTTTTTATAAATCACTAAAATTATTTACGTGTCGGCTTGTATGCCATCAGCAGGGATAGCGTAATCAGTATAGCGACTGGTTACGGGCTGGACGAGACCGGTAAGATCAAGAATTTTCTCTTCACCTCGTCCAGACCGGCTCTAGGGTCCACCTAACCTCCTATCTAATGGGTACAGGGGGCTCTTTCCCTGGGGGTTGAGCGGCAGGTGCGTTAAGCTGACCACTCACTTCCAGCTAGTGTCGAGGTCAAGAAAATGTGGATATATATATACACTCCCCCTACGCCTTCATGGCCCAGTGCTTAATTAGTTAAGCGCAGCGACAGCTTCACCTATTCTACCTTGCATACCATCTGGCATATCTATGCAATAGTACTTTTCACCTAACGGGCTGGCGTAGGAGCACAGCTCGATTCGCAATTGGGAAATGTTAGGTTCGAATCTCGGCCCGAGATACCGGTTATCGTGACTGCCTTTTCATTGTTTTTTCTCGATGTCTCCACGCAAATATCTGGACAGTACTTATATTAGGCCACGGCCGCTTCCCTTAAATTCATCATTCATCAATCGCTCTACCATTAACAAATATCCCATACCTAGTCGTACAGATAATAAATTTGACTTTCACATACCATGGAGAACGGAAGGAAAGAAAGTAAACGTCACAAAGAAGTTTCTCCACAGAATATCTGACGCAAATGTCTCATGTATACGTGTATACATACGTGTATACATACTGGGAACATACGTTCCCAGTATATATGTATTACACGCTCGACTCCTATAGTCTTATTACCCACAGAAATATCAAATTTGATATAAAAGCCTATACTTCGTTCCGTTACACATTTGAGCTCAGGGACCCCAAATGAAAGACTTTAAACTTCTTTACTTACTTACTTACTTACATACTCACTCATGGAGCTGAGCCCTTCTGGAGGAGCTGCCAATTCTGCAGCTACTCAAGAACTTCCCAGCATCTTATGGAACCCGAAGGTTCATTACCGTATTCGTAAGAGCCCTCCGCTGG